GGATGAGTTAACTTACCTTTTAAAATATTATGTATATATATATATAATCCTAAATTTTATTAAGTATGATGTCATGTTTTTAAATATTTTTATTACTATTTTTATTTTTGTTTATTAGTGTTTTGCCTGCATGTATGCAGGTGCACCATACACATGCAATGACTATGGGGTTTGAAGAGCACAATGGATTTCTGGAACTGCAGTTAAGGACTGTCTTTAGCTACCACATGAGTGCTGAGAACTGAATCTGGTCCTCTGTAAGAGCAGCTGGTGCTCTTAACTGCTGAACCATCTTTTCAGTCCCATGTAGTTGTTGTTGTTGTTATTTATTTATTTCTTTTTGACATGCTCTCCCTGTAATCCCAGCTGGCCTAGAGCTCACCTATGTAGACCAGGCTTGTCTTAATCTAACAGAAATCTACCTGTCTCTGCCTCCTGAGTGGTGCTGGGATTAAAGGAGTCTATCACCATGCACAATCCTCAGTGAATTGTTCATAAATTAAAAACTGAACTAATAATTTAGTGACACACATTTATTTATACATTCATTCTTTTTTCTTATAATACATTATAACAGATTTTTAATGCTACATTTAGAAACATTGTAGAGTAAGTATTAGCATGAAATGTTTGCAGGCAAAACAATGGTGAACATGCAACAGGAAATGTGTTGCTTGATGCATCATGTGATCTTCATACCAGTTATTATCCTGAAAATTTATTATAACAATTTTTTATTTATTTCTTTTTATTTTATGTTTGTGTTATGCCTGAATGTTTGTAAGTACACCTGTGTCCTGCAGTGCCTGCAGAAGACAGAAGAAGGTATTAGGTTCCCTGGAACTGGAGTTACAGATCATTGTTAGATGCCATGGGGTTCTGGGATTCAAGCCTGGGTCCTCTGCAAAAGCATCAGTGCTCTTAACCACTGAGCTGTCTCTGCAGCCCTGTGATAATGACTTTTATATTTACTGCAAATCTTCACATATAATACTTTTGTAGATGCCTGAAATTTTTAAAAGCAAATATATTCCTAAGTAAAATTATCTGATGAAAAGATTAGCAATTGCTAGAGAGCTGGAAACAGATGTGCTTTAGAGACCTAGATTTTAAAAACGTATTTAAAAGTCTGGTGCATTTCAGAGAGAAATCATTCTTGAATCACTGACATTTAGAGAAGAGAAATGGTAAGGATTTAATTGAAAATCTAACGTATTTAAAATTCATGGCGACAATGAGCAGTAGAGGTAATTATATTCAAAATGCATATCCTGTGTTGAATTTCACTTGCTCAATTCTTCCTTTGCAAGTCTGTGCATACTGACCTGGAATTAGATTATGCATTCCAAGTTGCCTGAATGATCATTTCTTTGAAATAACATGGTCCAGAAGATCAGACACTAATACAAGTAACATTGATTATAAATATCTATCCTACTTCATTTTCAAAGAATCAATGACCGATTCTTTCCATAATATGAGTCATCTGTTTTGCTACATGTAAAAATACTGCTCACTTAAAAACATTTGTCTAAAGCTGAAAATAAATGTAAATTATTTTTCTTAAAAATCTTACTCTTTTACCTGATTCTTTCTTCTATTTTATAGGAAATCTTTCTAAACTGATTTTTGAGATTTTCATACAATGTATTTTGATCATATTCAAAGCTCCTCCCCTTTCTCCACACCTACCTCACTACCCCCTGCCCAATTTCATGTAGTCTGTTATTGTTATTATACCTATCACATCTACTCTGTGCCCTCAAATGCCCTTCAGTGTGTGTCCATCCTCTGGAGCCTGGTCAACCTACCCAGTTTTACACCCTTAAAGAAACCTGATTTCATTTCTCACTGTAGCTGCCAGTTGTCAATAATACCTCAGCTAGATTTGCTGCTTCTTGCCCACCTCCTGACCTTTGTTCTGGGATTTTGTCTGGCTTGAGCTTCTGTAGATCTTATGCATGCTGTCACAGTTGCTGTGAGTTCATATGAGTAACTGCCCTGCTGTCTGGAAAATATTGTTTCCTTGTAGTCATCTACCATGTCTGAAAATCCTTCTGGCTCCTCTTCTACCATGTTCCCTGAGGTTTGGAGGGAAGAGAGTGTTATATAGGGGGGTCCCATTCAGAGCCGAACACATTGCAGTAACTTATTCTCTGTATGTTGACTAGTTGTGGGTTTCTATGTTAATTGCCATCTGCTGTATGAAGAAGCTTCTCTGGTGAGAGCTGAGAGATGCATTAATCTATGAGTACATCAACAAGTCATCAGGAGTCAATTTAATACTATGCCCACTTAGGGGGATAATAGTAATAGGTGCTCTCCTAAGGACTGTCACTTACTTATCTAGCCACAAGCTCCTGGCCTTGATAACTGTGCAAGGTACAGGCTCTGTCTTACGAAGAGGGCCTTCAATCCAATCAGAAGGTGGCTAGTTACTCACATATCATTTGTGCCACTATTGTATGAATTCTGTGTGAATTCCTAGTAGGCAAATCTTGCCAGACCAGTTGCTAGTGCAGCTCACATAGGTCATAGTTGAGTAAGAAAGTTTGATGAGTAGCTTTTTCTCTCAATAGCATGCATAGCACCTTCTAGCACTATGAAAACTAGCCAGTAGAAAAATCTTTGAAATCAGGATCCTCTTGATTTCTCCTTGTTTGTTCTACAACTCATGTAGGTAATGTCTTCTGTAATAGGGTCTTGCTTTCAAGTTCTGGTGGCTAAGAGAAATGGCAATGGTCAGTATTGTTTAAGGGTCTATGAGACCCCCTGGTCAAGAGCTCCAAAACAGATCATCCATTCCTGGTATTGGGTTTTTCATGATAATAAAATTATGTCTAAAGTTTACAATACAATCTTATTTTATAAATATTTGTGAATAAATATAGAAACAGGCATTTGGGGACATCTTTATCATGCTTATAGCTTGCATTAAAACCTT